TAGGTAGTTTAATCTTTTATATTTTGTGAGCACGTTTTGGTTTCAGTGTAAGGGATGTTATTCAAATTTTGACTTCGCTTCCGCATTTGATATTTTTGAATATAAATTCCATTATGAATTTCCGGGGCTGCTACATCTGGGCACTCTTTTGAGTGTGAATCAATGATTGCATTTTTTTCCAGAATTTGTGAACTTTCCTACTGATCTTGAATATAAAATCATTTGATAATCTCCGTAAAGAAATCATCCGCTACGGCGAGTTCTCTCAAGCTTGTTATGACTCATTCAACTTCAATTTTTCGAAAAGCTCGATATGGCCGGCTATGTCTACTAGATAATCAGATACTTTTATAATTGTTTTAACACCAATCTTCCTAACTTTCTCCAGAAATCGACAGAGAGGACAAGTCTCGTTAGAGAGAATATAGGTATCAATGTAATGAGCACGGAAGCATAACAACAAATGGCCGGAGACAAAGTTGATCATACGGCTCATAAATGGATACAGGTACAGAGGTACAGAGCTATGGAAATGAGGGGAAGGGGGGAGGAGAAAGAAAAAGAAGAAGGAAAAAAAAAATGGTCATGAGCCTGTTTTCGGGATTTTGTTATTATTTTTTTAAATTTATGTAGTATTTAAATTTCATGTAATGTAATATTTAATTTACAATTATATGAAATTCAATTAGTAACAGCATTAATTATGATTAAGTTGAAATTTTTTCAAAAATACAGAAATTAATTTAGATTAACATAAAATAAGGATTAATTTTTTTTTAAAAAAAGTATAAAGTATAAAGATGAAATTATTATTTTAATCTAACATAAAGCCAAACTTTTAACATTATGTTTGCGAGTCTAATGATCTGATCATCTCAAGCACTACACGTTAAAAGATAGAACTTTCATGGGTTTTTTGTTTTTTGTTTTAATTAATATAACCCAATGTTGAAGAAACTGAAAGTAAAGGCAAGTGCTACATATAAAATTCAAGTGCCCCGTATAAATTATTATACTTTACATCAATAATTTTTATTTCATCAGTTCTACAAAACTATTATAAATTATTCTAATCACCTTTGCTTTTTTTTTTAAAAAAAAAAAAAAAAATCTTAAATATAAATTTATGTTTAAATTTTCAAAATTTGTACAGATATCATATAAAATTGGTTCGGTCAAAATCATCCCATATAGGAGAGAGAGATAAAAATATATATATATATATATTATTTTAAAAGTAATGAAAAATTGTTCTAGATTGTTGACTACTTGTCTAATCATGCATAACAAGTATTTTAAATGTTTCATGAGTAATTGTTCTGATAATTACAAAGACTACAAAAATAAAGAAATTCTTTTCTCCTTTATATATATATCTTACATAATATACAAAGTTAAGAAATGTTCAAAGAAATCTTATCCCGATATGATTTTTGATCTTAAAAATTAATAATATACTATGAATAAAATAACCATATTTATGATTTTTGAATTTCAACATTGAAAAATCTAAAAACACTATTTTTTTTTCTTAGTTCATTGAATTT